ATTGTAAGTGCCTTCTCAAGGCAAGCAGCTAATGTATAATTACAATAGTCAGGCTCACATGACGCCCCTGTACAGGCTCTGTAAAAGCAGCTCTTGACTACTGATCCTCTTGAGACCAGTATTAATAGGAGCACAGATGTATTATGGGAAACCTCATGATAAATGAGTTGCTTCACATCTGTATTTCAGGCATTAACAAAACTGTGGACAACATCTGCCGGCTTTCTCCAGATCTGTTAGAAGAAGCAGTGAGTATATGCTCTCTCAATATATATATATACATATACAACCATGCGAACTAAAAGCAAGTTACATTTTGATCAAATTAATTATATATTGATTGATTTTTAAATGCTTGATAGAGAAATAAGAAGTGTCACACAGGTCACATGTCTTGGTATTATTAGCCTCTAGTATTGGTTTGTTTACCATAAGCACATGATTCATTCTTCTTGTCTAGTTTTGAGACTTGCCAGAGGATAAGGTTACCATGGTCTCCCTCCCAGGAGGATAAACAACAGGATGTTAAATACTGTGTCATACTGTTAATTGTAGAGCTATAAGCAGCCATGCTCTGCACAAGTTGCAAAGGATGTGGTATTGTTGGCATAGAGGTTCTACCGTCGTTCTGATAACTAATCTTATAATCTCCACAGTGTCAGCACATTCTGATTTATCTTCAAGGGCGAGCTACAGGAGTAGATTCAGCTCAAATGTCTGACGTGAGGCAATATTTTCTTCTTATTTTTCAACTTATGGTACCTAGTTACCTAGTTCCTTTTTCATTTTACTTGTTTTTGTTCTTGTGAGCAGAAATTTCAGAGAGCTGGAGTTAGACTTGACCATGAAGCCCTGCAGAACACGATCAGATTTCTGCTGTTAACATTCAGGTATCTTTCCTCTGATTCTATAACGGGTGGACACGTCTTCTGTCATATTGTACACATTTATTTCCTCTGTGAAAGTCATACAAACATAAGCACACAGTTGCACTTTAAGGTGTTATAGTTAACATTTGTGTCACCAGGTCAGCTGGGAAAAATAACTTGTCAGGAGATGGCCTTGTGTTGAGGCTGGAAGAAAGCAGTAACAAGTGGTCCAAAGCTTCCCTGCAGGTGTTGCACAAGTTGTGGAGTGAACATGGTGCATCAGTCCATGCTCAGCAGGAAGTCCAGGCCATGCTCAGCATCGGCCAGGTACATTGACATTTAATGCAGTAAAGCAGTCGCTCATTTTCAGATATTTTCTGATGACCTGAACACAGATTTTTTTCAATCTTTGTGTGTTTTGCTCTATCTTTCTAGTTAGTGGACATCCAGTGGAAGCTTGGGATGGCGGTGAGCTCCGACACCTGCCGATCTCTCAACTCTCCATATGTGTGTCTGCTGCTGAAGATCGCTGAGCCCTCGGGACAAATCTGCCTGAAGTCTTTTGAAATGACCATTCCACAGTTCCAGGTCTGTATCTATTGATGTGAATGTAATGTAATGTTGTTGGTGTGATTTATTTTCTGGCTAGATTGTGAGATTTCTTATTGTTTGTCCTCTGCAGAACTTTCACAAGCAGTTCAAGGAGATGGCAGCTGTCATGGAGACTGTATGATGCCTGTAACACCTCAGTGCCTGTTGCAGCTATTCTGTAGTCTATATGTAACCAGTGGAAGAACGGCTCGGCACCTGCGTTTGTCTGCTAGCTGTCGTAAAATGTCCATACGATTTGGTGCAACTCTCAACTGTCAGCTTTGCCTTTAAGTTTTCCATATATTGGAAAAACGTATAAATGATAGTGATAATTTATTCTTTGGTCCTCCTGCTTTTGAAATAGCTGAAAGTGCCTGTTTTTGACTTTGAATGAATTATTTCAGTGTACGTCCTTCCATCAACTCATCCAGATATCAGGACTTTAATATAATGTGCATGTGGTGTATACGTATGCTGCTAATACTAAAAATACATGACTCATGATATTATTGTGCAACATTTGTTCATTAATTACAGAAGGTAGACCATTGATGTGGTTTATGTTTATCAGTTTTCTTCTGGCTTTTTACTTGTTTTTACATTTTCATGGTTGCTAATATATTGTTGTTTCAGATCAAGGGTAAGAGGTTGTAATTCTTCTGCCATACAATATGATGAATGCTATATAGTTTGAAATAATGTTTCAAATGTCATATATGCTTTGCAGTACAATTATTATTTTGAAAGTATAAATCGTCCAAATTAACTAACCCTCGTTTCAGGTTCTGTCTAAATTATTTTGCTCTTTATGGTTTTCTGTCAGTCTGCCTTTGTGAAGCATTAAATACTTAAACCTTCATTGCTTGGTTGTTTGATCACAACTTCACACTTCAGAGCAGATTAAGTAAAAGCAATTACACACCAAAAAAAAGGAATCAGTTTATTAATATCACTGTTTACCATCTGACTACTCTGTACCTGCAGGATCCACAGAGAAATGGTAGAAATAGTTCTGAGGCACTAATGTACAGTTCACAGATGGCAGAGTGAACTCTTGAGGATCTGGTGGAGAGTCCAGAGGGTCTGCAGCAAAGTGAGGGATTCTTTTATCCCGATTGTGTACAACGGCGTATTTACCTCCACCAGGTATGTTATCACCCATGTCTGTCTTTTTCTTCATTGGTTTACTTGTCAGCAGGGTTACACAAAAATAACTAAACCGGTTTCCACCACACCTGGTGGAGGGATTGGGTCTGGGCCTGAGAAGAACCCTTTACATTTTGGTGCAGATCAAGCTTCAGGGGCAGATCCAGGATTTTCATTTTACTTCCATTGATTATATTCTATGACAAACAACTTTTAGTTTATCAGAACACTTCTTATACTTCTCTTATGAAAAAAACAATCATTGGATATAAATAAATTGCTGAAATTAATATTAAGATTACATTTCCCTATTATTTAAAAGAATTACAACAACAAGTGTTTGTGTATTTGGTGGCCTGACAGTTCTCTCCAGAAAAAAACAAGAGCACTCATGGACTTGACCAGCAGTGAGAGGGCTTGGTAGCTTGCAGGGGTTTAGTGGCAACTGCCTCAGCGATGGAAGGTTATATATGGCAAAGCTACTATTTTGGGGGATGGGTGGATTTATGGCATTTGGTAGATGCAAGTCCTCTGGTGCATGAAGCATATCAGATGTGATTACAGCTTTCCAGAAACCATGATTCAGTACCGCCTGCTTACAAACAGATATTAGCCGAAGGTTTTTCCTCCTGTCTTTATTTACTGTAGAAAATATACAGACTGTAAATACCAATTAAAAATGTTTATAATTCAGAATTAGAATGAACAATGGATTCATGATACAGAACATATATGCAGAGAATAAATGGAATTAAAAATCCAAAATACAGTACACAGAGATATTTGGCACATTTACATTCCATTCTTTTTAAGGGGTGTAAAGTTGGATTTGTGTTTATAGGTTAAGATTTAAAATGAGCAAAACTTTACAAGTTATTTGTGAACTTTCTTGGTGAAGTGTTGAATTTGACCATCGTGCCTCCAACAGGCCTCTGCTGTCCTGCTGTTACCTGGTGCTAGGGGGCCCTGGAGGACCATGTGGCCTGGGGGCTGCAAACACTTTCCACACTACCATGGAAGAGACTTTCCAGTTATTGTGCTGTGTTATTGGGGTTGAGAACAGGCGGGGCCTCCGTCCTGTCACGTTTCACACAGCGTCTCTGCCCTGCCCACTCTTCCAGCACATGGGATGGTTGGGCGGGTCGTCAGCGCGCAGACAGCCGCTCCACCTCCGAGGCGCTGTGGAAGAAAGGATCACACTTCAGAGGTTGGCGACCAACAAGCATCAGTGTTAGTATTTTTAAAACATCGCAGTCAAAACGAAAAGCGCAGACTAGCTTTGTGCGCAAATGGGTTTTTAGGCTGTGCGTAAAATTGCGTCGCGTCGCTGTGCGCGCTCAGGAGCGACGTCAAGACAAAATCAGACTTCCTCTGGGCGACTTGTGTTTACACAGGAGCCACGTCCAGAGCCACGTTTTAGCCAAGCAAGCCTGGCTGAGATGGTACAGTACTGGATTGTTTAGCGTTTGACTCCCTGCCCATGCAAACAGTGGAGGAGCGGAGCTGGGGCGCAAGCTACAAACCTTGCAAGGGAAAGTGTCCATCGGGGACGGTTTGGGTGGATTTGGCTAACATGGAGAGCTGGAGCTGATCGGGACGAGCACATGTTGTGCGTCGTGTTGTGTGAACTTTCACTGTGGATGCGGACATGGAAACTGTTGCAAACTAACCACAACTGCGCCTGGCTGTGATCTCAGGGAATGCTCCATCTGTGCCATCTTTTTTTAAAACCCTAGTCTTTTAGTCCCACAAAGCAGTCAAAGACAAACATGGACGCTCCGGATGAGAAGGAGAACAGTCCTCCGAGGTCGGACGGGAGGTTCACGCTGACTTACATCGGCTGGTCCTCGCTGGACAGGCGCACCACCCTGCCCATGCTGCCGTGGCTGGTGGCCGAGATCCGGCGGCGAGGCGAGAGGGGCGACTGCGGCCCCGTGGTGCAGCCCAGAGAGGTCCAGCTGGTGCTCAACCCCCCCTTCGTGCGGTGCGTCCCGTCCAGCAGCAACAACTCCTCGGTGTTCATCTTCGAGCACAAAGCGCAGCTCATCTCTCGCTTCATCCACAACAGCAACGATCTCACCTACTTCGCCTATTTGCTGCGGGGCCAGCCGGACAACCCCGAGTCAGACATGTCCTGTCACGTCTTCAAGGCCGGCGACCCCAACCAGGTAGGTCGGGCCTGTTCCAGCGCCCAGAAATAACCTCACAACACTCCCAGAGCAGCAGCTGTGCCAGGAGCAGTCGAGGAAAACACACAGAGAAACTAGTGCAGAATTAGTGGGGAAACTATTTCTGTCTTATGCTAATGAAGTTTTAATGACCCCACACACGCTGCTCAAATTTTCAAATTACAGTATCTCTCTATCATGTCAATGTTTTCTTGCATCTCTGAGGGTTTTCAGTTTAAAACTCTTATAAATCAACATGGTGTCACACTGAGGCCCACCCATGCACACACACACACACACACACACACACACACACACACACACACACACACACACAGCCCTGCCTCTTTCAGTGTAAACACATAACAAAGCCTGAAGTAAAAAAATGTCCTTGAGGTCACAACTGTGACATTTTAATCTCAAACACAGTAGATTAGTCAATAGCCCAAACATGTTTGCTTTGGTATTAAGTATTTAGGCCACCGGTCAGTGAGGATGAACACCCTGGATTTTTTATTTTGGCAAAGTTAATCCATCCCTGTATTTCCCCCCCTTGTGCAGGGGATCAGACGTCTCTGCCTGTTCTGTGTGATGACAACAAGTCAAATGGCAAAATATTCAGTCAGCACATTTACATGCTGATCAACGTGCAAGCCTTGGGTAATAAACTGATATATGGGGTAAAGAGTCAAAAATCTAGGAGTCAGTGTAAGAAAAATCAGATGTGCACTCATGATTTGTGGTCATATACTGCACGTGCATGACACTGATGTGTGTGTGTGAGAGAGTTTCAGTAGAATCAATGCTTAATACATGTTCTCTCATGTTAATATAAGAAATCATGTAGTTTGGGTTTGTGCCAACATGCTCCTTGACTTGTTGTTACTCAACCTCCACCGTGCTACACGTGTTCACGTTCTTCTTTTTTTCCTGAGTGAAACAGGAAACCCTCACTCTTAATCTTGACACACAGGTACCATGTGTTGTGCGCCACGTTTTTCGCATCAAACTCAAACATGCCAACGTTGTATCATGTTTCCTGTGGTATGTGTTGGCCCTGCGTGAGACAGTGCATCCGCTATATTCAAAACCAAGAGCAGAAGAGGCAACAAGATGGAGGCAGAGGCTCTTTCGAGGCGCCTGCCACGGTTCCTCCTGTATACAGCAGTCAGAAAGGCATCTTGAAAATGTCCTCATCCAGTGTTATTATGCAGCACAAACTGGTTTGGCAGCCAGCAGAGCCAAGGCACATGTTCTTGGTGGACCATGTGGAATGCATAGGTTATTCTATCAGCCCACTGCTGCCACACAACCAGTCAGTGTTGATGATATGATTATGTATCAATACAAATGTTTTCACTGTGCGTCTAAGGATTTGATCTCCCCCCAACTGAAAACATTATAAAATTATAACTTTATTTCTGCGTGACGGGCTTGTTTTCAGATCTATTTTTGGCTGTTGACATGACATTGTACAAACCCTGTGGGAAGATGAGTGACACGATGTGAAAGGGTAAAATCAAATGACACACTCGGTATACAAAGAACATCGCTAACAAAGTGAAGCCTATAAACACTGAATGTGCGTTTCCTTGTTTGCAAGGTTGGGCGATGAAAATCAAGTCTGTCTTCCTCAGCTTTAAATGTGACTTCAGTCCCTGTATATATTATATTTCTGACCCAGATGGAATTGGTTATGGATAAGGTGCAGCCGCTCAGCCATCTCCAGAATCTTCATTAGTGTATCCATGGTAACGGGACATATAGAGTATTCTGCCAGAGAAATATCAAACGCAGAAGCGAGTGCGTACCTTCGGTGAGACTAACCTTTTAAAGAAAGGTTTATTTAGATCTGCTTCAGAAAATGTTTATGGGTTTGGTTCAGTAGTTTCTGAGTAATCCTGCAAAAGACAGAGAAAAAAAAACACACGAAGAAAACTTCTTAGTGGAGCTCATTAACCATCCACTGTGATTTATTGTTTAATTACAACCTTTATTGCGGCTCAGAGTCGGAGATACTAATTCACAGCCCCAGTGAGACTCTTCATGGCAGCAGGCACACATTTAACACAGACTCAGCTCAGTTCCCTTGTCTGCTGGTAATACCCAGTGTGTTCCGTCACGGTGTGAGCCACCACCTCTGCTCAGACTTGGAACTGGACCTCAGAGGAATCTCTCCCTGCGTGACCCTCGGCTGACTCGCCAGCGCTGTTTGTCATCCAGCGACACGTAGTGACAGGGGGACACCTTCATGAGCAGACAGCAATGCACTTGACTTTTCCAAAGCTGAATTTGGGAAACAACTATTTGCCATTGAGCTAAGGTGAGGTAAAAAAAAAAAAAAAAGTCCTGCTCTCTCTCTAGATCTGTGTGATTGTGAGACACAAAGCCAAACATGCCTTTTCTTCTGTTCTCTGGATCAGCCTGTTCTTTGCCACACCTGTGCTCACATGTATTGAGCCGGAGCAGGTGATGTGGCCGCGTCTTTTCCATTCGATTACCTTTGGCCTGGGAGCTCTGATCCTGTGTTAAGGCAACACAAGAG